GCGACAGAATCGGTAAAATTCTCAGGGACCTTGGTAAGAATTACATTACAAGAATTATATAATTTAAACCAACTGTGATAATTGGGGTTGATCAAAATATAAAACGCCCCTCTATCTATATTGTATTTATGATCTGTACTCTGTTTTTTAATATATTCAAGCAATATTATTTCCGAATATCCAATAGCACATTTTCTTTGAACAATAAATCTATTGAGAATGTTTTGCCTTTTCTAAAATTGGAATGAACCATTTTTGGAAGATATTTCAATGTTTTAACACACTTCCTAAAGTGTACAAGTGACATGTACAGAATTTTCAGTTGTCCGACATCAAGGCAATCTTTTACTTGGATATCATGCCTCTAATTCTATTAGAAACCTTTTTATGTGAATATCCCACCTAAGATGTCTATCCAATGTTATATCACCAGTTATTGCAAATATATTCCTTCACTCTCTTTATTTTCATCATCGTCATGGCGAGTTGTTTGCAATATGCTGGTGTCCAGTTCCAAACCTTTCTTCTCTCATTCGGTGCAGGTATCTATACTGAATTGTTTGGCATTTATGTCGTCCATTATAGTATTTTTGACTTGTATTCCTTCTCTGTAAAGTTAAACTAGAACATCTTCTCCAGTACATCATTTCAGTTGAAAGAAGTTTCTGAGTAATGTTTTTCTCTGCAACCCACACTTCTGATCTATACATACACTTCTGACCCATATATACAGGCTGAATCATAGCCTGGTATATATTTTTTTTGTTATGTTATTACTCCACAGAATTGGATGTAGGCTTTAATCATGGTCTTTCCTTTTCCTGTTTCCTTTAGTATGACCTTATCGTCCTTTCCGTTTTCATCTATTGAATCTCCCAAGTATTCGTATTCTCCAACGTTTATTATTATCCCAATTTCCGTTTCAATATCTTGTCCTATGCCTCCTAAAGTCATGTAATTTCTCTTCTCAATGTTCATCTTTAGACTCCGTTTTGGGAATTCTTCAATGAATTCATTTATCATATAGGTTATGTCCTGTTGGTCTTCTGTCAGTGCAAGTGGACGGTAGACGGACCTGATCGTCTACGAAGAGGATTGTATATAGGTAGGTGTCCTGTATAGTTTTCCCCATGGGACTGCATTTTCTTATCCACTGCTCTAAAGTGCTGCTGAGATAAATTTTACACAGTGTTGGAGAAAGGCAGAAGCCCTGTTTGACGCCTTTTGTTTGTGTGAAGGGGTCGAAAGTTTCGTTTCCGGCCTTTACTAGCTTCTTTCATTGCTATCCACGGGCACAGAGTAGAACGCTTTATAAAGGTCTATTAAGGCAGCGTGAAGACTTCTTCTTCTATTCGGACTGTTAGCACTCTTTTATATTTCTTTCCGATGGACAAATATATAGGCAAATCCCCTGGTCCTGGAGCATTATTATTTTTCATTTTTCGTAATGCAGCTTGTATCTCTTCTAATTTGATGTCATCTACTTCTCTTACTACTGCTTCTATGTTCAGTTGACTGTCTAAATACTCATCGCGTTTATCATCCAGTATGTTGTTGTAGTATTCTTTCCACTGTTCTATTTTTATTGGATTTATTTTTCTCCTTTCGTTTGTGTTACTTTTGAGATTGTTTATAGTTCTCCAAGCTGCTCTAGACATAGAACCTCCTAGCATTGAACTAATTTCAGCACATTTTTTTTCCAAGATTTTTTTTTTGTTTTTTTTATTTCTTTTTTTACAATATATTTGTATCTGTTGTATTTTTTCCGGTCTTTGTTGTCTTTTGCATTTAACCATCTTAAGTATTTCTTAGCCTAGTTGGATTAAATCGTTTGTCCACCAAGGAATTTTGTGTTTTGTTTTATCTCTAACGCCAAATGCTTCTTATCGAAGAACTTATCTTTTGTGTTTGCATCTGAGTCATCCGTGGGGGCATAGATGCCAAATAGTTTAATTTCTCTTCCATTTATTTACATGTTAATCGTTTCATCTATTGGGTTCCAGTCTGGTATATATTTTTCCATCTTTTCCTTTACTGCAATAGTCACACCAGTTTTGGAACTTTTTGATTTTTCCACTCAACTCCAAAAGTAAATGGACTCCTCCTTGTAGCTATTTCCTTTACATTTATTTCTTGTTTCACTGAGTACAGCTATATCGACATCGAATGTGTGGAGTTCTCTAAATACTTGGTCGTCCTTTGTATTTAGTCCTTGTATGTTCCATCATCCAATATTCATTTGCCATTTTATTCGCTTTTGTCGCTTTCCGAGTAATCAGAGTTCCGAGGGATATTTAGCAATAGTTTTTTTTCCGGGCTTGGGACCGGCACTGGTAGATCTTAGGCTACTCAATCCATCTTTATTAAAATACTCAATTATACCAATGCTTTAAATCGATATACGGCAAAGAATGTATTGAAGAGACAGAAAATAAAACATCAACGAGGCTAAAAGGACATGAAACAGCCTTAAGACTAAGACAAATAAACTGATCAACAGTTGCCGATTACAATTATTATCTTAATCAATTCTTCTATCAATATATGAATCAGTCATCCGAAACAATGTTTAGTTAGATCTCTCGTTTAGTTCCGCATAGGTAGAGACTGGAATGCGAGCCAGTTTCCGTTAAGCTCTGAAGAAGCCAACAGGATGATTGGCAAGTTCGATTTATCAACAGTTCCAGTTAGAAAGAGCTAAAAGCAAAAAGAAACTTAACTTACCACCATAATGGTAGACGCAAATAACCTGCACTAATACCTCCTCAAAGGATATGTTATCATTCCGTGCACTTGCACCGTCAAAAATGGCGACACTAGGACGGACAAGTGTCATCACAACAGCGACATATTAACCAAACCCTTACGAGCATTTCCGGAACAATTAACATCGGAGCGATGGTCTCTCGGCGTTGTTCGACGCTAAATGCACTAATTCGTCAAGATGGCCGTAATCACCGGCGAAATGTACTCGACCGAGGCCGTTAAATGATTTGTTAAATTAAGTTAAATGCGTTCGAGCAAACCGTCGTAATCGGCAGTCGGTCTACGAACGATACCTTGAAATGATATTTATTGGGAATATGCCGGGAAAACAATTTAGAAATGAAAAGAAACAAACTTGTCTTACTGGTAAAAAGAATACTACAGAAAAAGAGACAAGAAATGTAAACTGACAGTTTTCACAACATCAAAAAAATATAACAGCGTTTTTTATGTTGTAGCACCCACTATTTATTTATCTGTTGTTGGTATGTTGTATAAGGTGTGGCCGGAAGCCATATTGTCGTTGTTTAAAAATGCAAAAAAAATAAATTTCGGAGAAGATACTTAAAATTTAGATAGGACTAGTTATTATATTGCAGTTAGTTTCCAATCTCCTTTGTTCCTTTGCGTGCTTCTGTCGCTATCAAAGTGTATAACTTTAGGACACGCGATGTTCATTTTTAATTTCAAGAATCCATTAGGAAAAACGGAATTATTCGAATAATGTTCCGGATACAAAGAATACAAAAAAAGTAACGTTACATCTTTGTATGTGGATGTTGCCTTTCCCTGGAAGGGAAATATCGAAAATATGGACGGTTCAGTTAATCCAGTTCTAGGGACATGTTCAAAAAGTTCAAAGAAATTAAGATGTTTGAAATCTACATAATTTTGTTTTTTCCAATCAAAGTTGAGAATGTGGGAAAAAGATAATGGTAAAATTGTGATGAAGAATAATATTTGAAACACTGACCCTACACTAAGACAGAATGATGAAACGGATAAAAAGGTTCCTTTGCATTCAGTGGAAGTCAAGGCCGGTAACCGTAGTTGAATTTATTAGGAAACTGATTAACTTCGAAGATTACATTGCCGACTAAAACGCCTTTGTTGTTCTATTTTTTGTCGCAACGGGAAAAAAGTCATAAAATATACATTTCAGAATCCGTTTAGTTAAATTTCATTTAAATGCATGACCTGGAAAGTTTGCAACTCGCTAAGCAATGTAAGACAAAATATTTTATAAAAATAATTTTTATAGTAATATTTTTTTCATAATACCTTACTGTTTGGAAGCAACAAAAATCTATAGCAATGCATAACGAGATAAAAAAATCTATTCTATAGAAAAAATCTATTGAGATGCTGTGACCTCTTGGGACGTTTCTTATTATTGGTTTATATGACATTGCTCAGGTAGTTTCAATACGTAATACGAATAATTTGATCAAAAATTTACACTAATGCAAACTTTTCGACTCCACCGAACTAAATTATTTTTCCGAATTCCGATTTTCTTTCTACATGCAATGCTTTACATTTTGCTTTTTTATTTGGAAACTGCAAGTTTTATGAGCAAATTTCAGAAGTCAAAAACGTTCCTAATGAACCCGTCTATCAAAATATAGTTTTGTCCGTTTCATTGCTTCACTTTGTCTTTAAATTTAGTTAAGAATGATATGGTTAGTCTTAAATCATTTGAAAATTAAAAAATATTTTTGCAGAAAGTGTATTTTTTGCTACGTTGAATTGCTAAGGAATTATGCCCAAAATTATTTATATGTTTTAAAAAAAACAGCGCCGCAACAAAATATGTTTTATTAGAAATTTTTAAAACTTGTTAAGCGTTGGTGTTTGTTGGTGTTTGTTGTGTGATGTGTTTAAGTTCAATCCCTTATTTGTTGAAATTCCAAAAGTATCTGCACTAAACAAACTAACTTACTTTAATTTGTTTATTTATTATTATTGTAATAGTGACGAAAATGGTTAATGCCGGGTGTCTGGTTGCTGAGATCAAGGTCTTAAGCTGTTGGGATATATGCGTAGGTTTTCTGTAAACACAATGACCCAAAGTTAGGTCTGATTTTCTATTGATAAGAATACCTAAGAATGGCAGGTTATTATTAGCTTCCAACTCAACAGCATTCCATGCATATGTGTGTTTAGTTCTTATTTATTTTGTTAAAATAAGTAAGTTTCGATTGATGATGATTTGTTTTTTTTTTTGGTTTCAGATATTCGCGAAGCTAGGTTTTTTCGGGAGGCAATCACGTGCTCGGGGGCACATGTGCGCGGGCTTCGCAGACCCGCCGGTTCCCCGCTGGGGAAATGCGTGAGCTAGACTGCCCCCAGCTGAGGAAATTTGTCCAGAGGCACGACCCCCACCTTCATGTGCACCATCTGCCTCACTCTGACGGTAACAGACCCTTTGCCCTACTTAGGGGACAAAATATTATATTTTCAACGACGATTTAATGTGGATGTAATATATAGTGTGTCCCCTATAAAATAATTGATTTATAAGCAAGGCCTTTATTCAAAAGTGCTCAAATAATTTAACTTGTTTGATATTTGAAGGAACACTTTTAAATAGACACAATTACATTTTTTAATTGTTTCTATGAATTGGCATTCACTTTTTTCTAGATGCGCACTAACTGATAAATTAATAGGAAAACTCTTTATTGTACTATCGAGTTTATGTATACTCGGATTTAAATTATTTAAATAAAATTAAAAATAACCCAATTTTGTAATATTTTTTGTTATAAAGAATGTCAATTTTGATAAGTAAAATGTTGAAATTCTTGATGCATAAACTGGTCCTAAAAAATTCATAAAATATATTCCCATACTTTAGCGGTAACACTGTATATAAGTGCTTTTAGAAGAATTTCTGTGCAGTTTGTAGAGCAGCGCCGTGAAACAGCTGAATTATTATGCTTTATTAATTTGACAAATAACGAAATTGATTCTCCTCACTGATCAATATGTCAGCTAGAAGGGTCTTAGACAGTAAATACTGTGTCTTTATTAATAAAACTGGGCTTTTTAAAATGAGAAAATTATTATTATCGATGTGTTCAAAGCTCTTTGCCACCAAAACTCAACAAAACAAGAAAATAAGAAATATAGAACAAGTGTGGTAAACGGCATTTCAGTTTTCCAAACTTGTTTCTACGACCGTTAGTTTGTGAGTACATTTACACTCAAGAAAAAAGATTTCACCGATAGGTGGTACTATAAAAATTTAAAAAGCACTATCAGAAAAATCAAAATGTACTGCCAGCAAGTGCTAAATGTTATTCCTGGGGATGTTATAGTCATCGAATCACTCCAAACACTTCCGAAAAAATACCAACGTTTTTTTCCAAAAAAGTGACACCATTTACTGACTTTAAATAATAAGCAATTTCGGACAGATCAGAAATATAAAACAAACATTGTCAAATTTTGACCAATCTACACTTCTATCATCGTGTGGCGTATTTAACGGCAGTACATAAGAGATAAAAAGCATATATTTTCTTCTAAATTGTTAATGTACCTACTTTATTATTATTACATTGTATATTATCAAATGAAATCGACAGACCTGATTTCAGGTATCCGATAAAGTCAAAAATATTAACAATATATTACAAACATCAACATTTGCAAAAGAACGATTACAGCAATATGCCATCGGAGTCAAAAATTTCATTTAAGTTACCAATTGGTTTTATACCCCGTATTTAAACTCGCCAGCGCTATGCGTCCGTGTCAGTGAAGTACGCAAATGATTAAAAAGTTTTATCCGGACTATTGGCAACTATAGACAATTTATGCCTGGGAATTTTTTAATCAAAATTGCTCCTTAACCGTTGATTATAAAGAGTAGAGGTCCTAGCATACGTCCCTGAGGAATCCCGCTTACCCTGTGTCAAAAAAGATTTTAACCACAAGCAAATAATTTATGGAGAAGCATATGGATATTGGTAACGTCGAATACACGTTGCAAATGAAAAAATGCACAGGGACTTCTGCGGTCTTGATCTAAATTGTTAATAATATGTTTGTAGAATGAATGAATTGCCTGATCTGTCGAACGCTTTCCACGAAAACCAATCAAACTGCATATTTGGAAAGAAATTATTTACATCCATTTTCAATTCTATACCTCTATAGTTCAAAAGTAACCTAATAACACCTGTGAAGCGCAAAAATTATTGCATTTTTTAAGCAAGACGGAAAAATACCAATGGAGAAAGAGAAGGTCGCATTGAAATCTTAAAGCTTTCATACGGAAGAAATGTTTTAGTTTCGCCAGAGGGCCAGCATAAAATCAATTAAATGCGAAAACCATGTGCCGCCGCGCAAAGCAACCAAATGCGACAAAACTAGAAACTTTGACCAAGTTCCAAAGCGTAGGCACCGGACGACAATTAATTAAACTCAAATGGGCTTTTTATGTTATGGGACTTAGAAGTTTGAACACATTGTGTGATATAAGCGGATCACCTCCTCTATATTGGAAACTATTTCTCAAATTATATCTTTTTTTTAGATCCTTGCCTTTATAATCTATTTAAGAAAGTCGTAGACTAGTTACACGTCATTGGATATGCAAATGAACTACGGAGTATCTCAATTTAATTCAGTTTCATTGTTTGACTCAATTCATTCTTGCCATAATGTTCTTGGTTATCTGACATACTAACGAAAACTGACGGAAAATCAAAAAATCGAGTATGCCCTGGCTTATAAAAATAAGTTTAATTAAAGTTTAAAAATAAGTTTAATTACCTATTTTTCCTGAATTCATCTAAGTTTCTGTATCCTTGATACTTTTTTTTTCTACATGTAGGATGGAAAGAAAAGCATCAAAAAATTGTCATCATGGGAAAAAATTCGGAAAATTTCTGCAGAAGTTCAAAAATTACGGAAACTCCCGAAAGAAGCAGCAAAATTATATTATTATTAATGTTATAAATTCGTTCACAAATGTATAAGATTAAAATTATAGCCTTTGTTCCGTGGCGGCCGTAAACTAATACGATGTTGCTTTTTTTCTTACAAATTCGGCCAATTCAAAAATTAAATAAAAACGGGCCTTTATCATTTCAAATAAAACAGTTCGATATGTAGTGATTTATAATGAGAAGATGCTTTGCGTATTCTTTTTATTTTAAAAATAACAATAAATAATAATAAAACTTTTTTTTCAAATAAAAACGATACAGTGAGGCCGAAGGCTAGTCAATTCATATTCAACCCTATGAGGACCGCAGACAAATCAAAATATACAGGGTGAGTCAACGATAGAGTAAAGTGCATTATCTCAATAGTTTTAGAAGTTATAAGAAAATGGTAAACACAAAAACTGTAAACATTTTAAGGATGCACATATTAAAATTGTAATAATATTTTAATATACAGGGTGTTTTCTAATTGAATGTCAATATTTAAGTTCGCGATTTTTGAATCCATTTTAAATGGAAAACTTCATATGAACATATGTCCAAAACATCCTTCCTTTTGAGATACAGATAAGATGCATTATTTAGTGCACCACATTTTTTTTTGAAATACGCCAGTAGCAGGCGTACGGAATTTGACCTGTCTGTTTTGGCCGACATTTATGGTACGCCACTGATTTCTCTTAAAATAAAAATTATTTTTACAATCTCCAATCATTTTTAAAGAAATTTAATTTCTTGTTTTTTTTTTCAATCCGATGTACGGTTTTCCCTTAAAAAATATAAAAACCGCTTCTCGGCATAGTCATGCAGTTGTAGAATGTAAGCATCAAGAACAGGTTTGTTGGACCCTTCTTCATACGAGAAAGCCTAAATCGTTTACTACGTCATCTTCCAATATTAAATATTTTTTTGCAATTGTGAAAACAAGTAGTTTTTTAGAAAATTTGAAAAATTGAAAAAACTGTTAGGTTTAGGTACATATTATTGTTACTAAGAAAGTTGAAGAATTTTAAAAGAAATTCAAAACAAGTTTTAAAGATTTTCCATTTAAAAAAATGTATGTTCTATTCGTCACGCTTTTTTGAGCTACCTAGAAATAATTTTATATTGCACATTCTATGCAACTTTTGCATTTACCATTTTCTCATAACTTTTGAAACGAATGAGATAATTTTGCTCTATTGTTGACTCACCATGTAGGTACTGTAAATGAAGAAGAAAATAAGCCTTTGTGATTTGGTCGAAGGCTTTTAGACCAACTTAAAAGTTTATATTAAATAAGACTATTTTTTAAACCGTTCTGTGTTTATCAAAAAATAATTCGTTTTATATCTTGTATATAGAAATTGCATTTCATTGTTAAATTTACATTTGTTTTTAAGATTTTTCCATTGATGTTGGAGAAAGAAGAAACCTTCCTCTCTTAAAATAATATTTCCTAGAAAAAAAATCAGGCAAAACCCCATCCGATGCGAGTAAACAGACGTTGTACTAAATCCTCGGGTCTTAGATTTTAATCGGCCCATCACAAATAACCAACATTTTTTTTGAATTCGGGGGAATCGCAACAAATGACCTTTCGAGATAACGAAGTTACGTTTAAAGACCGGGTGAACTAATTTAATAGCAGAATAATAATAATCGAAATGCTGGCTTTTACGGGCAAGAAAATCGAGAGAGGAAAACGAAAGACGACACGAAATGCGGTAAGCGGAATAATATCGTCTTTCTGTGTAGGTAGGCAGCCGAGTTCTAATTGATTTCTCGCTGGATAAAGAAAGTCGGGCAGTTTTGTAGCTGTTATGCTTATCCTACCGTCCTTTTTATCTTATAACGAAATAATTAACTATCAGGAATTGTGGCGCACAAAATGTTGTGTATGTTGTGAGTATGAAATTTTATATATTGGAAATGGTCTTTATTATATAGTTTATTATGTAGTTTAGTCAGTCGTCATGCTTTCATACTGCGCCTAAATTGATGCCGGGTATTGTTACAGCTGACGTCACAGAAAATCAAGATTGCGTTTTTCCAAAAATGATTTCCAAACCTTCTTTATATCCAAATATTTGGGATTATGCTGGTTCTTTGAATTTTCTCTTGCTCCGATGTTGTTCCTTGTCGATAATATTAGCTTCGGTGCACTGATCCAAGAGCGGCCAGCCACACATTATTTGTTTCCTTGGAGGTGACTCTTTGTTATATATCTTTTCCTGCTGTTTCCATTAGTCTTGTGTGGTTCCTGCGCCTTTCTATAACGACATAAGATTAAAGCTTTATCCACCACAGTGCGTTAGAACCCGCAGTATTTGTTTGATTAAGAAGAGTTTGATGGTTTTGCTTGTGTTGAGATTAGTTGAACTTTTTTAATGTGTGTGGGGCAAGATGGAAGTACTTTCAATACGTCGGTACAGAAGTAATATAGAAATACAGAAGAGAAGAAATGTAGAAATTG